ACAAACATACATACAATAGAAAAGTATACATATTTATATAAAGATCCCTTTGTATCGAAGATTTAACCCAAATAGCCGTCCATTCAACTAGTGAAACTAAATATAGTGGCAGAAAGTATAAATATATACATAATTTATGTATTATATGTGTATAATTAATGTATTATTTATGCATATGGCTAAAAAAAGTAAACAACGAATATAGTTGGCTATTTATATAAAGATCCCTTTCTATTTAAGAATTAACCCAAATAGCCGTTCATTCAACTAGTTAAATTAAAAATAGTCGCTGAAAGTATAATATATGCATAATTTATATATTATATATGTATAATTAATGTATTATTTATGCATATGGCTAAAAAGAGTAAACAACGAATATAGTCGGCTATTTATATAAAGATCCCTTTGTATTGAAGAATTAACCCAAATAGCCGTCCATTCAATCAGTTAAACTAAAAATAGTAGATGAAAGTGTAATATATGCATAATTTATGTATTATATGTGTATAATTATATTTAATTAATGTATCACTTATGCATATGACTAAAAAAGAATAAACAGCGAATATAGTCGGCTATTTATATAAAGATCCGTTTTGTATTTCGTCCAAATTCTTAATGGGCTCTATGAAATGATCCAGCCCGTTTAACAAAAGAGGGTCCACAAACTCCCGCTAACTATTTCCCGCTAATTATTTCCCGCCAATAATAATAAAAAAACTAAACGAAACTCCACCTTCCCGCCATATCTCTCTCTTTTTTTCCTCTTTCATTTCCCTAAAACCCTAATTCCATAGCTCCATTTCAGTAGAAGAATTAATCTGCCGTTTTCTCTCACAAGCAAAAAAAGAAAATGAAAAGAAAGCAAGGCGGAAGTGGAAGCGGAAGAGGAAGAGGTAGAGGAAGAGGTAGAGGAAGAGGAAGTTCCATTATGGAAGGCCAATACACACGGAGCAAATCTCAGATCTACTTGCACTGTAACAGATCGGGTCGAGTTCGGGTCGATTCGGCCAAATCCAAGCGGTCCGATCACCAGCTCCAGCAACTGGATCGACCTGTGAAGAAACTCAAAATGCTAATCGTACAGAATCCAGAAGGTTCTTCGGATCTGTGTGAAATGTCGCGTACGCCAGTCAAGGATCTTCGTGCTCGAAGAGTGTTTTCTGCACCTTCAGTTGTTTTAGAAAATGACGACAATTTGAGGAAAAGCGAATCGCCGTTATTCCAGAAGAAAAATCAGATAAAGGGAGATGGTAAAATTGGAACTGAGAGTAATGGAAATAGGAATGGAGGTATTCAGAAGAGTAACTCAGTAAGATATTTCTGATTCATTCTAGCTTACTGCATCTCAATATTTTTAATATTATGTGTCTGCATTAGCTAGCTTATATATTGTATGATTCCTGTGAAATTTTAACCAGGAGTAGAAATAATTCTATTAACAATCTATCAGGTATTTATCTTAGGTAGAAACTTATTTGTACTTGGTACTTACACAAAACCAGAATAATCTTAGCAGTTTAAATTAAAGTGAAAATACATTTCACTTCATAATTGTTAAGTGATAAATGTGTTAATGAAAGAGATATTTCGTGTGCAAGTAAGGTTTTACCTTTTTGGGAACTTAGCATGGTTGTATATGGATAACTTTTGATTCATTAATCAAGTAAATTGCAGAATTTTCTCTTTGATTGTTTTTTATTGTTAATGTAATTCATATTCAGAGTTCGAGATTGCTTTAGATAATGCTCATATGTTTGTCTACTTGAGTTACTAGCTTTCAAAAGTTTCTGCAGCTTGTATTATACCAGATAGTGCATCTTTTTGTGTCTACTTTAACGAAGGTCTCAATTGTAAGCAATTTCTTAGTTATTTACCATGTTATGAAAATATAGGGCATAGATGTTGATTGTACAAGGACAAATTCTGGTTTGGTTGAAAATTAATTTAAGTTTTCTTTATTTCTTTCTTAATTAATTAAATTAATTTCTAGGCTGTGAGTTCGAGCTTTCGGAGGAAGGTGTTCATAGCTCCAAGCTCATTTAGCTACAGAAGATTACTACCATATTTGACGGAAGCTGCGAGAGAGTACTCTGGTATCTTTTTAAGTTTTTGTTTTTCCTAGTGCAAATGATTATTAAGGGGATTAAACTTTTCAATATTTCCAAGTTTTGCACTGTAACTGGAGTTAAGACAATGCTTCTTTTCTGTAGATGTTTCAGAAACTGAGATACGTGATATGGAATCCAAGTCCGGCAATCCAACTTTGAGTTATCAGAAACCTGATCTGCAATCAATGGCTAGTAATGGTTCTACTTCTGAAGATAAACATGTTGGTGCTAATTCTGATGTCAGTAAATTGCTAAGGAGTGTCGAAGGTCAGCAGATTGAGGTCAATATATCATGCAACCCGCAGGACCTCAATGATGTCCCTGATGTTTTGAGCCAGACTCGAGTAGATCCTCAAGTGTTTACCAAGGTGGGAGGACTTGATCCTGAGGCATTGGAAGAATGTGTCCAGACGACACCACCAGATGCTGACATTTTATGTAAAGCAGATGTGAGCAACTTGGGAGCCAACATAGAACGTAATGCGGAGCAGACACAGAAAATTTTTGCTGGTCATCCATCAGATAGAAGAAATGGCTGCATTGTAAAGAAGTCTAGTTCGAGCCCTGGGAGAAATGGCAGTGCTTTGAGGAACAAATTGGTAAATATCACTAAAGCTCTGAACAGCTATGTTGTTGTAAAAGATCGTTTGAGTATCTATAAAATTTGTAGAAATTGTTATTTTTACAGGCTCTAAATCCTTGCTCTAGGCTGAAGGTGTTCAAAGCTGTAAATTCTGTTAGTTACAGAAGACTGCTTCCATTTCTGATGGATGTTGCAAAAAGTGATTCCGGTAAGTCACATTTTCTACTCCTTTAGGTGCATATATTAGGTGTATCTAAAATGGATTCCCATGAAAAACCAATGTTTGTAGGCTAATCACCGTGTTCATGTATCTTAGGAGGTGCTTCAAGTGAAAATGGACATACTAAATCTCAGAGGGACTTGGAGTGCAATCGACCTTTGATGTCCGTGAGTAAAGAAGTTCCTATGAATAAAGAATATTCTCCTATGGAAGATGAAACTAAAGAACAAGAGACAAAGATATTGGAAGCCAAGTGCATCTCAGCCAATGATGTGAGTGATTGCTTAAATACTTGTCTCCCCATGGAAAATTTAAGTTCTGCTGCGGAATCATTCAATGAGAAGCCAAGTTCAGTCTTTCCTGATGACATTGCCTATCCACAGACTTTACTTAACGTGGAAATCAGAAAATCGGAAACTGAGTGTACTGATACAAGTATTACAGAAAAGTCAGAACCAGAAAGTCTCAATAATGAGATCAATAATTTTAATACTGGAGAAAATTGTCCAGGAGTTACATCAAGCTCCAATGCAAGTCCTGAAACATCAACTGGAGAATATAAAGTAGATACCACAAACCTTTTGCCTATCAGTCTTGAAGATTTGTTAAGTGAATATGGGGTAGAGGTTCCAAAAGTTGGGCCTGTTAGTCCTGAAGGTGATCGCATGACTTTGAAGGTAGATCGTCATGAAGAATCTAGCAATTTGATTGATGTAATAGGTTCAAATTGCTGTGAACCGACTGGCACTGTAGGAAAAGAGCTTTTCCTCAAGATGTCAGAACCTGAGCCTATCACTAAAGAAAGCAGATGCAAGGTTTTGTTGGCAGATAGCAACGGAGAGAGTAGTGCGGTTGAAGCAGTTGCTTTGATCAAGGCATCTTCTTCCACTGAACCATCAGATCTCTCAGAATATAGTAATGATGGTCTCACCAAAACCTTATGCAAGGAGTCCACACAAGAAATCTCAGAATCTGAGCCTAGTGATGCTGCAAACAAAAATGGATGCCTTGAACCAGCTATTTGTCATCAGAAATCAACTCTGAGTGAATCATCATATGATTTGGTTACTCGTCCTGATCTTCTCATCAACAAAGGGATCTTAAAGAGAAATCCTAGGGGATGTAGAGGTCTGTGCAACTGTCTGAATTGTGCATCATTTCGCCTGCATGCTGAGAGAGCATTTGAATTTTCTACAAATCAGATGCAAGATTCTGAAGAAGTTGCTCTGGGATTGATGAAGGAGTTGGCTGATATGCGGATTTTCTTGGAGAAACACCTTTCTAGTGAAAACGACCTTGCTCCTATACCACTTTCTCAGGTAAAGACTAGATTAACTACTCCTTTTGATAACTGTGTCTCTTGCTGTCAGGTTATGCCTATATCTCTATTCATATTACTCGTCATTTCATGTATCCAGAATTGCATAGGTCAGCTGCTTTAGTTATGTTTATGTCTACTCCTGAAAGTACCTCATAGCAAGCGCCCTGTTGTTGTGGATGATTGTTTATTCAGACTTTGAAATATCTTCTGTTTTGAGTTTCATCAACTGATTCCCTTTGACAACATAGTGCAAAATGATTTTCCATTATGTCACTCCAGAAAAAGATAAAATTCTTGTTTTCTTTTACCAAAAAAAAATCCCTTTTTTTTTCCAGAAATTGTCACGAGACCAATTCAAGGTGGCTTGGTTCTGCACCATATCTTCCCTAGTTTTGTATAAAACTTGTTTTCTAGTGGCATTTTAGCCTAAAGGGTCCTGCATATTGGTGTGAAACAAATTGGATATTGCTTCTGCAGATCATCAATTTACCAAATTGATAATTCATGTGATACTTCAGTTTTTCCCCTTCTGTTCAACCATTTGTTTACATGTTCATGTCAATGGAATTAAGAGAAATTTATCTAATTCTGTTCATAATTGAATTATTTAAATGCCAGTGAGATAGAAAATAAATGTTCCTCCCATGCACCAAATTGTAGCCCCGTTACTTGAAGCTTACCCTTTTATTTTCGTAAACTTTCTTGTTTGGTCTTCTTTCTTTCTGTGGGTGAAAATAGATGTTTGTTCTATGTTATCCATTTAATGATTGTAAAACTATAAATGCATGATCTCATGTAACTTGGTTGCACTCAGCTTGGGGTTGAAGAAGCATGTACGAAAGCATTGGAAGCAGAACAACTGGCAAAAGAGCGCCTTAGCCAAATGAATAACGAGCTCCATTATCACTGCAGAGTCCCGGTAAGTAATTACCTAGTGCATGTTCTGTTACAACTTTAAGCATGATCAACTTTTAATCCTGTCCAAATTAGCATTTCAATCCTATTTATTTACATTTACTAATTCAATGTATAACTTGCAGCCTTTGTACCGGCCAAGAGTGACATTTGCCAGTTCTATAGAAGAAAAAGCCGTGAAAAAAATAGAATCATTCAGTTCAAAATCTGAGAAAGAAGATATCAAAGCAAGGGCAAAGCGTGGCCGAAAGAAGCATCAGTGAGCTAAATACCTGCTTGTGTTAACTTTACTTGGAACCAGATAAGAAACTGCTTATCAAAAGTGACTTGTAGATAGTTGAGAATCCCAGATTATATAATTATGTTTGAAGCTATAATTCTTAATGCCTCTCTAAAATGAGATACTCTTCATGCTCAATACTTCAAAGTCATTGCTTTGTATCTGGAAAAGTGTCTTCTCCAACTATGGGCTAAAGTTTGATATTTGTAGACTCCCTCCCTACTTAAATATCTTTATATTCATGCTCAATGTTTGCTCTTTGATAACTACTATTAGGACTAAGATATAGAGAAAAAGGAGAAGGGGAGTTGGTAAAGTTGCCTCTATATGATCACGAGGTCACGAGTTCGAACTGTGAAAATAGCCTCTTGCAGAAATGCAGGGTAAAGCTGTGTACAATAGATCCTTGTGATTCAATCCTTTTCCGGACCTCGCGCATAGCGGGAGCTTAGTGCATCAAGGAGGTTCTTTTTATATAGAGAAAAAGGAGTATTAGTCGTATTCACTGATTTCATTTTTTATCATATTGCTTTTCTTTAACTTTTATTATGTGCTATTAGTTCGGCACATTTTGTTTTGGATTGTTTCTTTGAGTTAATTTCATAAATGGTCACTCATCTTAATAAGGATAATTGAAAAAGTACAATTTGAAACATAGGAAAACAATTAACTTTATCCTGTATATGCTTATATTATCTTGGCAATTAATTTCAATATCCTATCTAGACTTTAGAAGAGTTCTCTATGAGGTACATTTTACAATCCTTTTTGGTTTTTGTATTTTCGAGTTCTTTTGGAGTTCAAGGAGTAATAATCAACAGACCTGTATAATTAACTAGTAGAATTTATGCTGTTTGTGAAGGTCCATTTTATTAGTTAAGAAAAATATCGAACAACTTTGTAAAATTAGCCAATTTTTACAACTCAAATAAATAAATAAAGAGAAAAGATCATGCGTCATATTTCAGAATTGTATCTTTCCATTTGTTGCACATCAAAGGCAACCATACGTACAAGATAACTATGGAAGTTTGTTAAATATATATTTTTAAAGAATTCCTTGGAAATAGAAAATAATATGCGAGGTAGGAAAGTGGGCCATAGCATGGGCCCATAAAAATTAAACCAATCAAGCCTAGTACCATCATTTGACCCATGGCCCACATAATTAGTACTTTGCTGTTTTTTTGGCTTGTACTACTTGTGTTTGCAATTCAAAGTGCAAGCTTGAACTCTTCATAATAAATTATTGGCATCTTTTGGAAACATTATTAAGATAATCAATGGAGAACAAATAGCTTTAGAATCCCATTACCAACTTAAGGTTTATGGAGTCTTTCCGAGTTTTTGACTAATATTGTCCCTTATCTTTGAGGGTATATTTATTTTGGTCCCTCAAAGTGTTAGTTTTTGAATACATTGTGTCAGTGAGTCTAAAGGTGGTCCACTTAAACATACTTAAAAGACTAATTATGCTCAGGATTATATTTAAGGGACCAAAATAGACCTACTCTCAAGATAAGGGACAATATTGGCCAAAAACTCGAGTCTTTCATGGCAAAGGTTGGTGAGGAAAAACGTTTTTTTTTTCAATATTTCGAAGTTTTATCAAATTATTAATTAACTGAATCAGTATTTAACCAGCAGTTTGGAACAAGAATAATTTATATATGTCGTTAAAGTATAGAAATTTGTATATAATATCAGGTCACTAAAAAGATATCTACGTAATTTTTCATAAAAGATATCAACTAGTTGTCACTGTAACAACAACACCAACAATCAAATAGTAACAATCAGGAAAATAAGAAACGAACGTAATAATATGTGTCAATGTATATAAATTAAACTTTACAAATATTTGTAACCACAATATAACTTTTAGAGTTGAGAATAATATCTTTTCTAACGACGATTCGATTCCCATGGCAATGGGCGTCCCATTGTAGGACCTTGCCAACTCATTTTGGTCCAAAAAATTCCCCTTTAACTTCATGTTTTTATTTGTTTTTTCTCACTGTTGGAATATATCAATTTAGAAAGGTACTGGAAATTGAAATTCTTATTGTCACGACCCTAGTTCACCGATCATGAACTTGTCATGACGGCATCTATTCTTTACGACTAAGTAAGCCTAACTCATTGCGAAATTAACAACTTTTCGTAAAATAATTACCAAACGCTAAATATCATAAAGAAATGTATAAAGGTGCCGCTTGACACATACACTTTTAACACCAAATACGGAAGTAACTCCCAAAACCCGAAATCCTATGGGCAACACAGGCTAAAAGAAAAACATACAATACATCTCTAATATCTGGAAATGTCTACAACAACGGAATACATGAAATGGAACTACTAACTAAAAGGTAGAATAGAAGGAGACTCTTCGGTCTGCGGATGCGGCAGATATACCTCAAGTCTCCGATATAAAGCTCCTGGATCACTGATGGTGCGCCTGGCCGGAAGTACCTGGATCTGCACATGAAAAACATGCGCATAAGAGGCGTGAGTACACCACAGCGGTACTCAGTAAGTGCCAAGTCTAACCTCGGTTGGGTAGTGACGGGGAAGGTCGAGGCCCTACTGAGACAGACATAATAATCAATATAAATATGAATCGGCAATAGGAGTACAATTTATATCGAGAATCTAGCAAAATAATAAGTGAAACAGTAAACAGAATACAAATACAATCTATGAATAAAAGAACAAATCACTACCGGCTATTTATCATCGGGATCTCCTGGTATCCCGAGGATCTCTTGGTATCCTCATCATATATAAGAGGGATCTCCAAGTATCCCGAGGATCTCCTAGTATCCTCCATTTATACACGAGGGATCTCCAAGTATCCCGAGGATCTCCTAGTATCCTCAATTTATAATCAATATTGTGCCAGGGATCTCTTAGTATCCTGCACTCCCAACCTTAGAACATAATACGTGTAGGAAAACTCCCGGGATACCGTCCCATAGTCCCAAATCGTAAACACATCACAGCAGTTCAATATTATAAAAATGCTAAGTAAAGACAACAAGTAGAATCTAGAGTCTAGCATGTTTCATGGAGAGCAGATATTGCAGTTTAGACAAATAAAACAAACAAGTCAACTAACATGCTTTTCTTAAACTAACACAGGGAAAACTTGCATTTATAACAGTCAAGTAAGCGAGGAACACATTCTAAATAATTCAAGTAAAGTGAATTTTCAATAATTAGCACAAGTACACGCTCGTCACCTCGCGAACAAGGCATTTAAAACAATAGTCAAGATATACTAAGGGGAGAGGTCCCCCCACAAGGTTAGACAAGCCACTTACCTCGAACCGGTACAAAAATCACTATGAAACGATGCCCTTGCCGCGAGTATCCAGCTCCGAATGGCCCGAATCTATTCAAACCAATTACATAATGTAAATAACATCGCAAGTAACTAATTTTATTATTAAAATTAAAGCTAAGACGTGAAAATAGGTAAAATGACCAAAATGCCCCTCGGGCCAACATCTCAGAATCGAGTAATTTTTACATTTTCAGAAATCTCGTACTCTCACGAGTCCAACCATATAAAAATCTCCCAAATCGGAGGTCAATTGCCCCCTCAAACCTAAATAATTTAGCCAATGAATCTTCACCCAATTTACCCCATTTTTGATCCTTAATTCGAATTTAAATGATGGTTACCCGAGCTCTAAATTGAATTTTCCAACTTTTGAAATTAGGCCTCGGATAAACCCTTATCAAAATAGTGGTTTCCACTTTTGCGGTCCAGGGACCGCTTCTGCGGCCCCGATTGTGCGGAAATATCAGCCTCTTCTGCGGTTTTCACTTAAGGAACAGGAACCGCTTCTGCAGTAGCAAATTCGCTTTCGATAAAAACCTAACCAAAACATGTCCGATTGACCTGAAATTTTGCACGCACGTCCCAAATGACATGACGGTACTACAACAACTTCCGGAATTCCATTCCGACCCTCGGATCAAAAATTTACTATCGGACCGGAAACTTCAAATTCTAACTTTCGGCATTTCTAGCCTAGATGAGCTACAGACCTCCAAAACACATTCCGGACATGCTCTCAACCCCGAAATCACCTAACGAAGCTAACAAAACTGTCGGGTTTCCATTCCGAGGCTATCTTCACACTATTCCGATTACAGACCATTTTACAGCACTTAAATATTTGTTTGTCCTCGAACGAGCATAGAGAACATACCTGAAGTAGATAGAAGATGAGGGTATCAGCTGCGCATATCCCACTCGGTCTCCCAAGTCGCCTCCTCGACCGGCTGACCCCGCCACTGAACCTTTACTGATGCTATATCCTTTGACCTGAGCTTTCGGACCTGCCTGTCCAATATTGCCACTGGCTCCTGAACATAGGATAGATCCTTGTCCAACTGGACTGAATTGAACTCCAACACATGCGACGGATCACCGTGATACCTCCGAAGCATCGAGACATGAAATACCGGATGAACCCCAGCCAAACTGGGAGGCAGAGCAAGCTCATAAGCAACCTCCCCAACTCGCTTCAAAACCTCAAAAGGGCCAATAAACCTCGGACTCAACTTCCCTTTCTTCCCAAATCTCATGACGCATTTCATAGGCGAGACACGAAGCAGATCCCGCTCACCAACCATAAAGGAAACATCACGAACCTTTCGGTCCCCGTAACTCTTCTGTCTGAACTGGGCTGTACGGAGTCGATCCTGAATCACCTTGACCTTTTCCAACGCATCCTGAACCAAATCTGTGCCCAATAGTCTTGCCTCACCCGACTCAAACCAACCCACCGAATATCTGCATCTCCTACCATATAAAGCCTCATACGACGCCATCTGAATACTGGACTGATAACTATTATTGTAAGCAAACTCCGCTAATGGAAAGAACTGATCCCAAGACCCTCTAAACTCATTCACGCACGCACGGAGCATATCCTCAAGAATCTGAATGGTGCGCTCGGACTGTCCGTCCGTCTGAGGGTGAAATGCTGTACTAATAGTCACCCGAGTACCCAACTCCTGATGAGCGGCTCTCCAGAACCGTGATGTAAACCGAGTACCCCTATCCGAGATGATAGAAACTAGAATACCGTGCAGACGGACAATCTCTCTAATGTAAATCCCCGCTAACCGCTCCGCTGAGTAAGTAGTACACACCGGTATGAAATGAGCGGACTTGGTCAGCCGATCCACAACAACCCAAATAGAATCGAATTTCTTCGCAATCAGAGGGAGACCAACTACAAAGTCCATGGTGATCTTCTCCTATTTCCATTCCGGAATCTCAATCTGCTGAAGTAACCCACCCGGTCTCTAGTGCTCAGCCTTTACCTGCTGGCAGTTGAGGCATCTAGCTACCAATTCCGCTATGTCCTTCTTCATCCGCCTCCACCAGTAATGCTGCCTCAAATCCTGATACATCGTCCCGGCACCTGGATGGATGGAATAC